TTGAAAATGAGACAGAGAAGCTGATTGATTGGTTGCAGTGCAAATCTGCTCCAGATTTTGCCTGCTCCAGTTTTGATACATTTCCCCCTGTATCTCTGTATGAGCTCTGCCAGTTTGAAAATGTGCAGAAGCCTGACCTTTGCAGCCCTGATTGAGTGATCACAATTGCAATGCTTTCCAGGCTTGAATGCAAATATTAAAGAAATGCATATTTTTTATATGTTATTAATTATGCATTTCTTTAATTTTTGCAAAAGGTGGACTTATTGTTTAAATATATGCTAAATATATGTCCTAATTTACCTTTAAATTTATCCAGGCAACTCCTGAAAGGTGATCATTAATGCATGGCCCCAAGTAAAACAACATACAAGCTTTCATGTCATCATGCAACAGAGCCAATGGCCCAATGATTACCCTGTTCCTGCGTGATGTTGGGCAGACAGCAAAAGTAGCAAAGAATGCCATCTGTATTGTTATTCCAACAGCACAAAGATAACAAAAATGTCAGTGCCTGTATAAATAAACTGATGTGCTTTTTCAGATTAATTTGCTCAGAACACATTCATCACAATGTTTTTATATTTGGTCCTTGTATGAAAACAACTTGGTGTGATGAAATACTGCTAGTCAGCTGACAATAGGTGTTACAATATTACCCTTTTGTTATGTACAGAAGTAAAAACTAGCAGCAAGTGGTTTTGTCTTTGCTAACCTTCAAGCCCCTTTTTTCATTAAAGAAAGTTAAATTCATATGTAAATATAAAGTCTTTTGTGTGCTAAAGTTAAAAAATGTATACAGCAACATCAATGTAATTAGAGTTTATTATAGGAAATGAGGTGAGCCAAAAATGACTGTAGCAGGTTTCTTATACCTCTCCACCCACATAGCTACTAATGACCTATGCAGAAACCACAACAGCTGTACAAATGGCAGAATACCCCCACTTCTACCTCTGAGATTATGTATTTATTTGTCTTCCCTTGTTTTTCACATACAGTTTTTGTTTACTTACGTATCTTTAACATCAGATGTTTGCTACTTACAAACTATCACAAATCAGCACATTAAACTACCTAAACTGCTACAGATATACAACATTTCAGATCATTAGCTGGATGATCATTGACCGAAATAAACTAACATTGTTTGCTAAACTGTTGCATATTTTGATGTTTCTACTTAAAGGTTATATGAAATATTTATTGTATCTACTTTAAGTTCACAATATACATATAGTGTTCAATATGAAGCACATTCTGATTTATGAAAGTTACATGGCCATTGGAGTCAGCCTCTCACTGGTCTGGAGCAAGGCAAAATAAATCTTAGTGGGTAACTGGCCAACTTTTCCTCATAGGGGGGATAATATGCTTCCGGACCCCATACGGTAGACAGATCCATAACCTGGATCAAAATATTACCATGCTCTCCTTAGTAACAGCAATGGTGGATATCATTAGTTGTAGGAAATCATCCAGTCCTTATTTTAATATTCAGTTGATGGTTTTACCATTGATATCTCATGCCATAGGCATCCCAGAACTTTGTCACTCTTAAACAGCAATGCTACATTCATCTTTCCTCTATACTGTCCCTTTTGCCTTTGTACAGTAGTAGAAAGTATAGTTCATATTCAGAGTAGCCTAAAAAACTACTGTTATCATTTTAAAGAGCACTATGAAAACAAAAGTTGGCAAGTGTGTGGGCTAGGGGCAGAAGTTCTTTCTTTGCTTCCACCAGAATTTAAAAACATTTTCCAGGATGGAACAAACACATTCTATTGAAGTCACAACGCAAGCCCCTGCTACTGCCAGTCTTCAGCAGCCAGAAAGTGTATAAAAGCACAGAGGTTCATTGAAAGGGTCATTTCATATTTCATCGACTATTGTCATCAGATGGTATTAATTTCATCAGATTTCTAAGTAAAATGGAATCCTCAATTTGATTAGAACGCCTTCATACGTTAAAGATAGAGTGTCCTCACATCCTAGAGCCTCCAGTAAACAACAGTAAAACCCCAGTTCCACTGATGCTTACATTACTTAGCAGTCTTGAGTCCAGTCAGTGAATAACCATGGTTCTCATAGAGATCTATGGTATTTATGGATGCAAAACAATATGTTCTACCAGCAACTTGCGCTCTAGGTGGAAATACACAACGGAAAATTATGGAGCTCCAGGAAGGGAATTATGCTTTCCGTTCACTGGGAAGTTCTGAATAGACAGCAGAACTCCAGTGTGAGGTTAGGTTCACACCTGGGCGATTTACTAAAGCGCTGCACAAACTGTTGGCGCTATATAAATCCTGTCTAAAATAAATAATAATAATACTGAGTGGATTGAGCCGCGCGATATCGAGCAAAACACAGATTAGCATTGAAGTCAATAGGGCTGTGCACACCTTTGCGGACTGTCGCGCAGTTTGGGTCCCATGGATATCCCTATGCATTCAAAGCACAGTCATGCAAACGAAAACAGCTAACCAGCTCAATCGCCTAGGTGTGAACCTAGCCTTAATAACACAACAAGAGTAATAACTCCTTGCTCATTGAGAATTAAGAAAAGAAAAGAGGTTTTCTACTTTCAGAGATTAGATAGGAAAACTCTAAACACTTCCTTTTCTGTTCAGCATAAGGGGTATCCAGCCCAGAACATCCTGCTAATCATCTGTATTTGCAACACTACAAGCAGCTCAGATATTGACTCTGATATTGACTGCACACAGCAATGCTGCTCAGTCTTTTTCAAGTGTCACCATCTGATCCCTCAGAAACCCAATATATTCCTGACTCCGCCAATGAAATCCAATCAGCGCTGAGCAGTAGTCACCTTAGTGCTGGTAAAACTGCTGATTTGTAGGCCTTCTACAAAGAACAACTCTGCTGATAACAGTTAAATGAGCATGTGTAGACATTGTCCACTATCTTCCTGAAAAGGGTAAGCCTGTTTAATATTTACACCATGCAACAAACAGCGGTTCTGCTCTAAGAATTAGAATCCCCCAACACAAATAAAGAGCTAAACCTTAAAAACCTAAAAGTTAATTCACCCGAGGTGTAAAAGATGTCCACTATCAGTAATATTGTACTCCACACCCCCACTCAGTTTAAACATCCCTATAGATGTAATTCCCTGACTTCTGGCACACCTTAGCACATTGGTAAATAATGGCTTGAATATTGACTAAGGAGGTTTTCCTCTCTATACATCCACCTTTCCCACCATCCTTTCTTAACTGTATAATGCTGGATAATCTGTAATGGTATGTTGACCTATGGCATACCAAGAGGAACTGTGCAAGATAAAGCATGGCAATCTATAACCAGCTCTACTGCACAGCTATTTCCCAAGGAATTTTAAGTGGTGGGGACTGACACATCAAGGTCAGAGTTTCCTTCCCTATAATTACCCATAATTTCTGAAAAGGCAGCCACAAGAATATGGAATTCTGTCATGTGTATCCTATTATCGCTTGCATGATGAGCTTAGAACAGAGGGATGTAGCTTTTATCTTGTCCAACTGCAATGCACATTTCTTACTATCTGTATATTAGGGATTGTTACTGTACATTATCCACACCTAGGCAGATTTCCTATTCATTCTACATTGAGTAATGCCACAATTCAAGCATCATCACTATTCCTATAATGGCTATTTTTTGAAGCATCAGAAAATAAAACAATGTTAACATGTTAGCCAGATTTACAAATAGGAAATGGAAAGACTTTACAAATGTTTCAATATCAGATCAACTTGTGTAACAAGTGTTGTTTTTTTGTTGCCTCTTTTTCTTTTATTTCCTAATTGTACATTGTTACTGACTCAAGTTTTGCTACACATCTGAAAAAGTGTTTTTATTAGAATGTTAACATAAGCCTCTTGCAGCTATTTTGTATGATTAGTTGTGATCCCCAAATGACCATGCATAAAGGATTTGTCATACCTATAATAAAAGTAAGTGTTTCCAGAGGACAAGACTTTTGAAAAATGTCTCATTCTGAAATCCCATCTCATTTAGGCGTATTCTGCAATTGGGATTGATCACACTGTGGGGAATACAACCTGGAGACCCTACAGCTATAGCGGAACTAGAAGACACATCATTCTTATAAACCATGCTGGATCTTGTAGTTCCAAGACAGCAGAGCCCCAGAGGCTGAATGTCTAGGTACAACTGGTCACCTCCAGAAAGAGGGGAAATGCCTTCAGAGTCACACCAGTAGAGGGTGACATATCCCATCTCCCAAAACTGACATCTGGAACAGCAATGTGAAATGTACTCAGGAAACAATTGATAATCTGAAAGTGCTGAGAGGGGAAATCAGATCTAATCATCAAAAAAATGCATGCAACTCTCAATAAGGCACAGCAATGAAGTCCGTGCAATTCAATCAGTCCTGTCTATTGGAAAGTGATGTGGTTTGTTGTATAAACCTTTAGATAAGCACTTCAGCATTCAGATTAAACCGTACATATAACATGTACTTGTCTTGAATTGTATTGTGATTGTAATGTCTTCCTTATATCGTAAAGCGCTGCACAAACTGTTGGCGCTATATAAATTCTATATAATAATAAAATACATTTTCCAAATTCATATAGAATTTCCAAGGTAATAGTATTAAACTGCCACCAATTAGCTTTTCTGTCTAATGTAATCCTAATACTTCCAATCCTTTTGTATGGCATTATACTGTAACTGTGCTGTCACTCCATATTTTGGAAAGCGCTGCTCAAGCTGTTGGCGCTATATAAATCCTGTTTGATAATATTAACATTACAATAGGAGAACTGTACCTTGCTAGAGAAACAAATTAGAGGCACAGATTTGTTATTCATGGTGCTGTTAGTTCATTGTAAGTAGCAACTTGTGGTTGTCTAGTTTTTAGGCATTCCACAGAATAGATCTGGACTGTATAGATAGAGGTGGAGGATGAGATGATGATGGTGATGATGATAATAGGAGTCTGAGCATGCAGTAAATCATATACTCACAGTTGCTTAAACCTGTTGAGGACAATCCTTTGTATATCCTGGCTGGGCAGACACCCTCCTCTCATACGGGCTCTGGAGCTGTGTAGTAAAATGTTTGGGCTCCAGCCTTAATGACTGTTCATTGGCAGAGGAGAAGCACAGGACGTCATGCAAGCCAAGCCCCGAGTCAGCCTTCAAATACAGCCCCTTCAAGTCAGGCAGGGAGATTGCATCCTTGCAGCTCGTATTCTTAATGGATAGGTGGGGATTGGGAGTGTGCCAATGGCCACAGCCATCCATCCATTAGAACACACACATTGTACCATCCTCTTTGTGTGTAACACTACACTTTCACCAATGCACGTTTCCTGCTGCAATCAGCCTGCATTTTGTGAGCAGCTAATTCCACCAAGAACATAGTGATCATTCCTTTACATCGAGGTGATGCATTGCAGATGTCCAGTTAAACTGACACCTGTTGTGTCTTTTACTGGTAGAGAGGATTGGAGAGGACTTGTTACATCTTCTTGTGTTTATGGGATGCTAATTCTATAGCTGTAGGGAAATCCTGCCTGGACTGTGTTACAGATCTGATGAGTAAAGGCATATGGGATGAGGACATGAGCTGAGTGTCACAGTGCGATGTCATTGCTGGAGGAGACTCGCTGTCTACATAGCGGACACATCACCCGGTAATTGTATCAGCAGAGGACGATCTCCATACGAGAGGGATACTCCTATAATGAGGGGTCACACTTTACTCCTTAATATCCAATATATACAGTCACTATATATCTATATATCTATAGATATCTACAGATATCTATAGGTATATAGTATAATCCAATGACCTTTGGGAAAGTGCCTTGCATAGCGCAAGTCGTGTCAGATAAGAATGTGTTACTGCTGGCTGTTTAAGTCCCTGTTCACACCAGAGCGTCGCGTGAAAGCGTGTCACAGTGATGCACATTCCCGCGCATTCGCAGGCAATTGTTTCCTGCAAGTGCCACATATCCCCATTGATTTTCCCTAACCCTGGGACGCGGGCCAAATGCAGGAAAGTCGTGCATGTCGCAAATTCTGCGACCATGCGTTCCACCTTTTTTTCCAGTAATAATTGAAGAAGTCACCGGCACTCTAAAATTTGCTCTACCATTCTGTCTTTATTGACCTTGGCGGTGGTGTCCCAAGGAGGGGTGCGAACATCAGAGGGGGTAACCCCAAAATGCCTGACCTCACCCAGTCTGAAAAGTCAGACACTCGATCATGGACCGAGAGCCTGACAGCTGCATGCAAGAGAAAGGGACCCCGCCAACTTATCCCACCAGATGAATGTCCCCTGCTCTCTTTGCTGGCGTCCATCAGCAAGATAGCCATCGGCAGTGAAGTGCACGGGACATAATTACACGCGGTGGCCGCTCCGGGTGACACCCAGCCTGGTGACGCCCCTGGATGTTGGATAGTTATATCATCACATTGAAAAGCAAACGTTTCGAAATGAATCGGTTCCTTCATTAGGCAAACGTTGCTTTTCAATGTGATGATATGACTATTCAATGTCAATAAAGATAGATATAGAGTGACTTCTCTTGGTTACGTGCGGCACCACCCTCAGTCACTGCAGCACCTACCCGACGATCACGGGTTTGCATGGGTCAGGAGTGCGATGGCACTTCTATGCATTCCATGTTTCTTTTCACAGGAAAAAATATGTTTGCTCAGCTGCATTTGAGGTTCCAGTAACTAGTAGTGGCACCACAAGCATGTTCTGCATCTGTGCACGTTTGACGCACATTCATGAGACGCCTTTGTGTGAATGGGGACTAAAGATTATCTATGGCGAAAAACTGAAAATAAATATGTATTTCTCTATTGAATTTTTCATAAGTTCTGTCCCACTCCTAATAATCATATCGATCTTGAAGTTTGTAAATGTACTTATGGAAGATGCCCATAGGATGTACTTCTTCAATGCAGCAACACAATTTTACTCTGCCCTGAAAATATGCACTCTCTTGTGTCACCACTCTCAGAGAACATTGCATTCTGAACTGCAACATTGTCTGAGTAATGTAACATTATTATTGCTTGTTGGAAGCAATGCATAATGGGTTATGCCTTGAGAAGATTGCATCACATCAAGCAGCAGGGAAAGAGATGCAAAGCACACTGGGAATCCAGGAAGTTGTAGTATAGTATAGAATGTATTCCTATTACAATGCTGATGATATAGCAAGATAGTATATGCTGGCACTTTACAAATCCTTTAATAAAAGAATAATATAATTTTGCATCTCAGTGTGTGACATTCCTAAAATAAGCCCAATCAGCTGCAGCCGGGGCATTCCCTGCAGGGCAGGATGCAGTAACACCATTTACCTTTTTATGACTACATGGCTATATTATGTAAATGACAATTACCTAGTATGGCAATGTGGCCATATCAGGTAAATTATGTGAGCATAAGCATCCTACCCCTTTGTTTATGGCCACCAGAAGGGTGAGGATGCCCCGACACACAGCTGATTGGGTGGGAGACCCATGTAGCTTCCATGTTCAGAGGAGCTCAGGTTTGGACCACATTTTGTCTGAACCTGAGCTTATCTCTAGTTGATACTATTGATTACTTTAGTGGAGTTGAGCCATCATGTTGTGTGTTGGATGGACCTGTTAGTTATATATATATATATACACATACACTATGCCTATTTGAAACCATACTGAGTGTTAGCAGAATACAAGTCTATTTATAAACTTTAATATAAGTTTTTAAAACTAGAATTCCCCTTCCCATTTGGTGCAGAAGTTATTTAGAGACTATGATTTCCCAGGCAAGCTGACTCTGTCAATTCTCTCCAATAATTCTACTGGCCAAATGTCAAAGCATCAAACTTTAATGCAATAAGGACTCCAAACTCGTTCCTGTGATGGACTATAATGTCATGTTTAGTTTAGTAATTTGTATTGAGATTGTAGTCCATCACAGGAGCGATCTTGGAGCAATGTCTACTTTACAACACACGCAGGGACCATGGGGAACAAATGTAGGCACCCTCCAGAAGGAAGGACAGTGTCAGCACCAATTCAGAGATGATTTGAGGATCTACAGCTGAATGATACACAAATAAGATACACAGATAAGATATTTTGTTAATAGTTTAGGTACTTGAATGCATTTTTAAGATTTAACTCCTTAGTTTAGTGTCATTTAAAGTAAAAAATATTGTTCACACTCAATATATACAAACATATGTACACTTTTACCTCTACAATATGAATGAGGAACAAATAAGATTCAGTTGAAAATTTCATACAGGTTTTCAGACGTTCCAGACTTTGAAACCTCATACAGCTCCTGACTATCACAGGAATACAGCTAGCATTGATAGCTAGAAAAATGGCATGAAGGCATCTGTCTGTTGTTTGCAGTGCCAGAACCCACTGGGGATAGTTGTGTAACTCATTCAATGAAATGAATTGGTGGATGAGATCTAAGCTGGCCTTACACTGCTCAGATTTCTTCCATGTCCTTTTTTCGACCCTACTAAAATTCAAGCTATGGGTGGCCCTGTCGACACCACTACGTTTGACAAAAGCCCATTTTTCTATCGACTTTTGTTGAAAGAGCCAAGCCAAAAATTATCAGCCGAACACTGACTACAGGCATAGCTGTAGTCACTGTTTGGGTATTCTGACAGTTAACAGCTCAACAGGGGAGCTTACCATGGATAGGGGCCCACAAGGCCCACGGAACTGAAAATTAGAAAAAAAATGCCGAGTATATGGCCAGAAGACGAGGGGGGAAGAAAAGAGGTAAAGATTGAGCAGGTCTTGAAGAGATTTCGATGAGTTACAATACTCATTTCCTATATGGTAAGTGCCCATGGTTACCATTAGAGGGGCCATTCCTCACCCAAGCATCCTGTATAAGGGCAGAATTGGACCATTTATGGTCAACCTAGGTCAATGAAAATCAACAACAGCAATTGTCACTCTAGAAAAGTTAGGGACAGAAAGAACTTGCTATTACTGCAGTCTGCAGTGTATAACATTAAATCGGTGCCTGTAATAGAGACATGGGGTTATCAAGGATTATGAAAGATCTGGGACACCCTGGGATAGAATGGGCGATTGATGGGTGACAAGATTGCGCCTAACAGTGGGAGTGGTTTAAAGGGGGATGATTAAACAGAACCTGTGTCTATTCACTGTAGATGCTGCACACATATGCCGTAGTTCCCGTACCTACAAAATTCTACTAATTTAAAAAATAACTAAACTCTTTCTCTTTCATTACATTTGCTTATCTTCACACAAAAACTGTCACTTTGTCTAAGCCAACCTTAAAGCCCATTTCCACCGTTGTAAGTGATTAGCATTTATTGTGGTAATGTAGAGTTGCAGTGATGGTGTATATGTGTGCACATTTTCATGACTCACATTGCAGGCTTTCTTCATTTTTTTATAAACTTTTTATTAGGACTAAATCCTTGAAATTCAAATTCTCTCCACAGGAAATTAAGTCTGACATTGGGGAGAATTGTAAAGCAGGCTGTAAACAGCTGCCCCCCTCCCTGTGATTCTTTGTAACACGATCACTAAACACCAGCTCTGCCTTTACAAACAATACACTGTCTGGGGTGGTTGCCACTATACAGACTAATAAATGGGGATGGAGAGCTCTAAGAGATCTCAATTGTAATTTACACAGACCACAAAGGCAGCCATTGCCATGAGGATATGAAGAGGAAAACTTAGAAAAGACTTATGTTTCTGTGTTCATAAACATCAACTGCATATGCCTGCTTCATGTACTGTTTACTTGGTGTACATTGCTGACCTATGTTTTTTTTTTTTTTAAATACTTCCGCAACGGTGAAAATGGGCTTTCATTAAAACCGGAAATTGCTGAGACAATTTACATTTTGGTCAGGGCTAAACCTAAATGCAAACACTGCCACTTTAAATGCTCTAATTTCCATATGGTGTTCTCTGAGATAATTCAGTATATTAGGGACCTTCATGATGACAGGTGGCTTCCATGGTGACCAGTAACATAGCATTCCACAACTAGTCTATATAATAAATTAAGGTTTCTTATACATGAGAAAGGGTAATGCCCGGGGCCAAAAGCATGCATTTCATTTGTTTACTCTTCAATGCCAGTGATTTATTTTACCTGGAGTGG